TGGAGTTGGGTGGAGGGGAATGCTATGAAGTTCAACAAGGGCAAGTGTAAAGTTCTACACCTGGGAAGGAATAAATCCATGCACCAGTACAGGTTAAGGGTTTGACTGCTGGAAAGCAGCTCGACAGAGAAGAACCTGGGAGTCCTGATGGACAACAAGTTCACCATGAGCCAGCAACGTGGCTTTATAAGCAGGCAGGCAAAGGGTCTCCTGGGGTCTGTTAAGACAAGTGTTGCCAGCAGGTCAAGGGAAGTTCTCCTCCCCAGCTATTCTGCCATAATGAGGCCACATCTGGAGTACTGGGTCCAGTTCTGGCCTCCCCAGATCAAGAATGACAAGTAACTACTGGAGAGAGTCCCGCAGAGGGTACCAAGATGCTGAGGTGCCTGGAGCATTTCTGTGCTGAGGAAAGGCTGAAACTTTGGGCTCTTCAGCCTGGAGAAGAGAAGACTCAGAGGGAATCTGACCAGTGCTGATCAAGAGCCAAAGGGCCCACAGCAGGCAAGAGGATGAGGTCAGACTCTTTCTAGCGGTGCCCAGTGATAGGACAAGGGGCAACAGATACAAACTGAAACACAAGAAATTACACCTAAACATAAGCAGAACCTTCTTTGCCGTGCAGGTGCCAGAGCCTAGAGCAGGCTGCAAAAAGAGGTTGTGGAGTCTCCTTCACTGGAGAGATTCCAAACCTGCCTGGATGCCATCCTGAGCAACCTGCTCTGGGTGACCCTGCGTTAGCATGGGGGTTGGATGAGACAATCTCCAGAGATCCCTTCCAAACTCCACCATTCTGTGATTATGTGATATTTATAGGAGTCTTAACAGAACATGGGACTCCCGGCACTGTCTTTAAGAAGTGTCTGCGTCAAGGAACAGCCAGTAGTTTCCAAACAACAGCAAAACTGAGGCACCTACTCATTCTTTAGGAGTCAAATGAGGTTAATAGCTCAGCTCCTTCCTTAATACTTGTCTTACACGAGATCCACAAAACTGCTGCTAGGGCAGAATAGGATAAGGAGGGAAGATTGTACAAGGTTTATTTTACCCAGTTGTTGACACAACCCTGGCTATAACCTGGATTAAAGTAAGTGAGGCCAACTGTGCAAGAGAAAAGCAGTAACTGACTTTATATTTTTAAGATACAATTACAGTTTAAGAAGAAGTGATTTTAGAAACACAGAAAGCTCGAACTGAAGTGTTTGATGGCATGAAGCAGGAAGAATCATGGACTCATTTTGTACCTAAATATGTTACATATAGCTTAGGGAGTTAATAAAATGAAGTTCCTTTGAGGAAATGTTGTTTATCTGAACCTTGAAACAGTTAAACCCCAGAATGGACAGGTCTAAGTATTTGACTAGCTAACATGAAATATGCATCTTACAGAAACTGCAGTCACTGTATCATGTACTAATAAGCACTGTTGTATAAAGACAGTTTACTCACATTTCTCCTAGGGAAAAAGTCAATTAGCAGCGCCATGGCTTTTTCTAAAACTGGAAGCACTTCTTGAAATATGTCAAATACATGAAGAAGAAGAAGAAATTAAATATGATCCTAGAAGATATCAAAGCTGAATGCAATTCATTCCAGAATGGCTTTTCATATATGACATTCAGTGTCCTAGTTTTGGCTGGGACACAGTTAATTTTCCTCCTAGTAGCTGGTACAGTGTTGTATTTTGGATTTAGTGTGAGAATAATGCTGACAGCACCCTGATGTTTAGCTGTTGCTAAGTAGGGCTTATCCCAAGTTCAGGATTTTCCAGTTTCCCATGCTCTGCCAGTGAGCAGAAGCAGAAATGGCTGCAAGGGAGCATGGCTAGGACAGCTGACCTGAACTAGCCAAAGGGATATTCCATACTACTGAACGTCATGCTCAGTACAGAAACTGGGGGGAGCTGTTAGGTGTAGGGAGTCACTGCTGGGTCATTGGTCAGGGGAGTGGTAAGCAAATTTTCTATTGACTATTATTATAATAATTTTTATTTTATTTTAGTTATTAAATTATTTTTATCCCAATCTACAAGTTTTACTTTTTTTTTTTTTTATAGTTCTCTTCCCCATCCATGTAGTGAGGAGGAGTGAAGCAGCAGCTGCATGGCACTTAGTTGCTGGCTGGTGTTAAACCGTGACATTTGAGAAATGCATTTTGGATCCTATATTCTTCCCCTTATGTAAGATCATTGGGAAAAAACCTTTAATTGGATCCCCCTCCTGTGATGTGCAATGACCCAAATATGGAGCAGAAAGAAACTGCACAAGACTGAGTCTTAGAAGCCTAATGTAAAATGAGATAGCTTTTAAATGATGGGATGTAATTAATATATAACATAACTCAGGTTTAATTGTTATAAAAGCCCAATGGCTTTTGCCATTGACCTTGTATGCACAATACCCAGAATTCCAAAGGTAATACACTCACAGAAAATATATGGATTCTGAGAGAAATAAATTGTTCAAGTGGTAAAAAGTCCCCAAATTGTAATTTCCTCACTAACAAATTCTGCAACATATTTTGTCCTGCTCATTTCATTGTCGGCAAGAGGATAAAATAAAATTTAATTTATTGGTTCTTGTTGGTCTTGGCCACCTCTGATTCTCATTTCCCATTGCTGTGTAGTATTTAATCAGTAATTCCCTAAAACTGGCAGAATGTGCAAATTCTGTGTGGTCATGTCATTCTGTGCAAATTGTGGTTGTGGTAGTGTTGGACTGGTGGTTTTGGAGGTCTTTCCCAAACTTAATGATTCTACAATTCTAAATTCGGACCCTGTCCCAAACCCCAGTCATCCAAAAATACTTCACACTAAGGGCTTCTCCTCCTCCTGGACATCCAAAACCAAGGATGTAAGTGGTATAATTTGCATACTAGTTTGGAACTAGCCAGTATTCACTTAAGACATCTCAGCATTCCAGTTGTACTAGTGGGTTCAAATATGGAAAAATCTTTTTAAAATCTGGTGAGGTGCCTGATTCAGTCTTCTCAAAACACAGTGAATCTCTGTAATGTGTATTCTACTAGTGCTATCCAGGCTCTTTTTAAACAATTCCAGCAAGAGCATCTGCTCTTTCCTCTCCTCTAGAGTTTTTTTCTCTGTTCTATCAGATCCCTGTACTGGAATGCTTATCTTCAGATAGTTTGCTTTTGTCTACAAAGTCATGCATGCACTTGCAACAAAGCCAGTATTGGCAAATGTAATTTTGTGTTACAACAGGCAAATCAGAGTCATACTGCAGTGCTCTTGTTTCATTCTGATAGATGCAAGCCTTGGAAAACCAGCTGTGTATGACTACTGATGAAAAATACATTAATCAGATTGGTCTGTATAGGGAAAAATGGAAGCATTCAAAAGAAAAAAAAATCAATTAAAATCTATACATAATCAAATGTTAAAGATTCCTATAAGAATGAAGTTTTTGGGCTGTATTTTTGCCAGAGGCATGAGACTACTTTATAATGAGTACAAAGCAACAGCAACCTTCTGTGTGTTTAAGTTACCATTGTAATTCCAGTTTATGAACATTTGAAAAAAGAAGACTAAAGGTACTTGCATAGCACACTTGCACAAAAGTAAGTTCCCTCCCCAAATCTTGTTTTTTTTTTTCCACTTGGCTCTCCTCTTCCTGTAAAAATGAATCCAAGACTCTCTTTCTCACATAACATGTTTTTCGTTGCCAGTAAAATAAGACTGGTGGGAAAAGAAAACTTTGAATAGACCACATGAGGCCATTGGTGGTTCATGCTTCGAGATATGAATTCTTTTATTAGAGCTTTACCTTCTGTGATGTTTTAAGACTTGCTGCAGGTTCTTAAAAAATGAATGGGAATTGCCATGTTCTGACCTGTCAGCAGTTTGAAAACTTAAAACATCCAGGACACATCTCAAGAAATCCAGCTGTTCTCTTTGATCCCAGATTAAAGGGCCTGTTTGATATTTTAGAGCTATGTAGTTTCTTACACAGTTCCAATTAATATGACACTTGAGCTTTATTCTGTGAATGTACAATAATGTGGAAAACTCCTTGGAATTCCCTCATCAACTATATTCTATTTAAAAATACATGTATCATTTTTTATAGCAACATCCTCAGCCACATTTAATATTTCATTTATACCCTTAGGTTTGGTAATTCACAGAGCTTTAGCTTCACAGATTCTTACCAATAAATCCCAAAATGCATGCATAGCTTGATTTAAGAAAGATATTTTACTTGTGTTTCATACACAAAAAACTGATAATCAACAGTGGCTTAAAAAATTAACACTACTCCACTTTTCCACAAGTGTACAAAAAAAGAAATAATGAATTTACATTCAACGGTAAAGCTTAAAGTCCACTCTAATAATAGTTGCATTGACATTCACATACACAAGCACAGAATAAATATTTCAGGATTCTTATAAGAGCATACAGCATACATACAGTACTTGAATTTTACATAAAGTGTTAGTAGGGTCAGAAATTCATAATCTCATAGAAAAGTAAAACTAAAATCAGAAAAGGTTGTGTGGGAGGTAACACCAAGGTACTGCACAGAGCTAGCAGGTTAGTAAATCCATTTTTGTGAGGAGTTTGCTTCTGCTTCTCCACATTAGGACAGTTTGTTTGCAAAGGTGTATCCAAAGTGCAGATTAATGAAAAAAGAAAATAAAAGATATTCTTGTATTTATTAATACATGCAAGAGGCAGCCCTCAAGTCACCCGACAGAATAAAGCTGTTATTGGCAAGTGGCCGATATAATACAGATGTTTCAGGCAATTTTTCTAAAGCACTTTAATAGCAGCAATTGTCATTTATAATGGCTCTAGACTGACTTCTGTTTGGGTTAAAGGGCATCATATTTCTTTAACATTTACAGCTATATTTCTTTATAAATAAATATCTCAAATAACAAATAGCATAGTTCATGTTTCTTTTTTCTTGCTTTTGCATAAGTGTCGTGGAAAAACTCTGACCTTTTCAGAGACTTAATGTGCAAAATAATGTTAGAGTGGAAAAAGGGACAGAGCACCACAGTCAGTTACATTCCTGGGATGTCCAGCCAGCCCCTCTTAATACTGAGGGCTGGCCTTGCCAGGGTAATGCAGGGCTTTATGGGACAATTTTCCCAATGGCTTGCTTGGTAAGAGATAAAATTTAAGGTATCTTAATGAGCTGTAAATGTGAGGGGTTTGTTGGGGTGTTTTTGTTTTCTTTTCAGGAGTGTGTACAATACGTCATGGATAGGACTCAGTATTTCCACACAGTGACTTCTCAAGATTTCAAAAATCTGGTTATCTCCTTTCAGACATTTCCTCCCCAGCCTGAACATCTTTGAACATTTGTGTTCATTAGGTGTTTCCTCTGTTGCATATTTACCAGCTCTTCTTGCATTTTATAATCAGATCTCATATCACCTAGCTGACATCTGCACACAAATATTTCCAATCAGATAGAGGGTGCACAACATTTAAACTTTTAAACCTGTCCTGTAAGTGTCATCAAGACAGGAGCACAGGAACCACAGTGCAGAGTCCAACCTCTCACTGGCTGTACTGTGAAGATTCTCCTTTTCGGCGTAGGAGAAAGGAAACTTGTGTCTGCTTTTTAGATTCTGAAAACAAGCCAGAGCGGAGAAAAAGAGTTAACACCAGACTTAATAAAGCTTTTAAGACAAAACCTGTTAAGCAATTTAGACAGACACTGTGAATTTCCTGCTGCTTTTCTCAAGTCTATACATACAGGAAATTTGTTAACAGTAGGAAGAAGTTAGGAGTTGCTACATAGGAGAAATCTGCCATTAGTACAAAAACTGGCTAAGTTGGTTCTTTCAGTATAAACCCCTCACTGGTCACTGTTCTCAGTGGTGCTGTTGCCCTTCTCTTTTTTCTCCTGAGTCTTGTTTCCCTTCTTCTTTTTCTTCTTTTTCTTGGTCTCTTCCTTCTTGCCAAAGGTTATGAAGTCACTTTTGTCAATTTGGCTGTTTGGTGGCTCCTGCCGGATGGAGATGATTGCAGGAGATCCTGGGATAATGAATTTGTCTGGCAACTCACCAGGACCACCTTGTTTGGGATTGCTGGGTCCAAATTTAAAGGTCCAGCTGTTGCTGTTCACACCAGCTCCCACTGGGGGGGACACCTCTCCCGCCTCAGGTTCTGAAAAAGTCAAAACAGCAAGAAAAACGTAAAGCATTATTAATGACAAGCACTCGGTGAGTATCAGCTTCCTGGCTGAAAGCTGTGGCTTTAGTCTGGATCTGCGTTGACTCTTGGTTGCCTGGCTCCCCATCTGGGTGTTACTGACTGGTTCTTACCTAGGCTGCTCAACGCTGTTATGTGCTGACTCACTCCACATACTGCTGGGCCCAGCATGCTCTGGATCCCATGTTGTGCCTTGAAATACAGTTGTTCTCTATTTTTTCTTTTGTATCTGAAGTGCACGGAAGAAGAGATTGCTGTGATGCAGCCCACTGTAGTGTTTTATAGCATGAAACACAAGCACGTGCATTGCATGGCGCACGGGTACATTTGAGGGTGCCAGGTATTTTGGGCTAGGGTTAGAGGAGTGTCCTAGGTGAGGGTGGGGGGGTGGGTCCAGCCTTGGCAGTATGCGAATCCATGCTGGATACCTTTAGCAAACCATCCTGTCAGCTCTGTCCAGGATTCCTCAGGGAGAGCATGAGTTCATGCATGCCAGGGAGAAACCCAAGAGCCACCCAGTGTGTGTGTATGTATGCACATAGATATGTGTGTATGCAACATGGCTGACCAGCAGGCATGGCCCTGGAGCAAAACCAGGAGTGAGGTGAGTATGATCCTTCTCAGCACGTCCATGTTACAGACCCAGAGAAACATGTATGTATGACACACAGAACTGTCTCCAAGACCATGTGTCTAATGGGTTTGGCACATGGCATCTTTGTAAAGGAGGTGATGTGACTGCTTTTACAGTGGAATATTTCATCAAGAATTAGAAGAGCCTGCACACTTCTTTTTCCCCTAAGGCTGTATTTAATGATGAAGAAGATTCTACTTCGAGCACGTGTTCTTTCCAGGAAATGCTGAAGTTATTTTAGTGACCTTAACCTTCTTAGTCTCAAATATCTTTCTTGAAGTTATTATCAATGTGGAATTTCCTTTAGTTTTTCAGTTGTAGCTTTTCTGTATATTTCCCACGGTCTTAATTATCAGTGTCAGATTTTTACATGTTTGGTGGTGGTAACAGTGATGTCCTAGCAAACTTTTTTTTCATTCTAAATGCATTAATATGAGATAACTTTCAATTCTGCTTAATAATGTATTTTGATCACATATCTTTTATATCACTTTTGTTTCTTTGGAACAGTAAATTACAAAGGTGAATGTAGTGTGTCTTGGCCTTCTTCCAAATTATTAATCAATTGTCTTTCTCCAGCAATACAAAAATGTGAGCTTTCATATTGTGCATAATAAATTAAGCCCTACTCAACAAATAAATCCTTTCTCTTTCCCAACAAGCCCATGCAACATTCATTCCAAACAACACTGGGTCAGACCCAACACTTTTCCTGTTCCTGGCAGGAAAAAGGGAGCTGAAGGTGACCTTGAATCATTTTTGAGCCATCCTTGCTCTGGGTGTGGAGAGGCTTGTAGAAATGAAAATTCAAAAAAAAAAATACCTGGACAAGCTTGAAAGGTGGGCCCATGTGAACTTCATGAGGTTCAACAAGGCCAAGCTGGCCCTGGGTTGAGGCAACTCCCAGTATCAACACAGGCTTGGGGATGAAGGGATTGAGAGAAGCCCTGTGGAGGACCTGGGGGTACTGGTGGGTGAGAAGCTGACAACATGCCACACTAGGCATTGCAGTCCAATGGCAGCCTGGGCTGCCCCCCCAGCAGCAGGGGCAGCAGGGCAGGGAGGGGATCCTGCCCCTCTGCCCCGCTCTGGGGAGACCCCCCTGCAGTGCTGGGGCAGCTCTGGAGGCCTCAGCACAGCAGAGACAGGGACCTGCTGGAGCAGGGCCAGAGGAGCCCCAGCAATGACCCGAGGGGGGAACCCCTCTGCTGGGAGCCCAGCAGCAGAGAATTGGGCTGGGGCAGCTGCAGAGGAGGAGGTCCCTAGGAGACTTTGTTGCTGAAATCCAGTACAACTTAAAGGGGCCCATAAGAAAGGTGAGGACAGACTTTTTAGCAGAGCCTGCTGTGACAAGACACAGGTTAATAGTTTTAGTCTAAAAGAGGCAGATTTAGAGTAGACTTAAAGAAGAAATTTTTTTATGCTGAGGGTGGTGAAATGCTGGCCCAGGTTAACCAAAGAGGTGGTTGATGCCCCATTCCTGGAAACATTCAAGGTCAGGTTGGATGGGGCTCTGAGCCATCCCTGCTCACTGCAGGGGGGGTGGGAGTAGATGACCTTTAAAGGTCTCTTCCAACTCAAAGCATTCTGTGATTCAGTGAAAACTGCTTTGATGTTTACAGGGTTACAACACTCAAAGGATTGCAGTGCCACCACAGCACAGCTGACACAACACTGTGTGTGGTTGTGCCATTTTGATGTGAGCATATCAGGCGGCAGACAGGTCAGGAGACAATGACAGTGACTTTATATTATCCATTTTACCACACAAATACAGTAACATGCAAGAATAGGGGCTATTCTTAAGGTACAGCATCTCTTGCATGAAAACTCCTGCCAGACTAACAGGGTGCACATACACGTCCGCATTACTGAAATCTAATTCAGAACAGGACACTGAGCCTTTAATCTGGTTCTGCCCAGACAAACCCGTATGAAGTCAGTAATATTTATCACCGAGCCATCTGACATAATGTATCCAAACACAACAAAGCCTCATTTCTCCCCTGGAATCAGGATTCTGTCAACTTAAAGACTAAGGGGGTTTGTTTGCATTTCTGTATGGATTTCTTCCAGCTCCTGAAAATTTTTTGTTATTCGTACAAATGAAGTATTTTAATACTCCTTAATACTTGCTAAACCAAAAGAAACTAATTATCCTTACAGCTCTGTGGAGATCTCACATACAAAAAACCAGAGACAGATAGAACTTAATGAGTTAATAGCCATCATTTCCTACAAGTGGGGCTTCAACAGACTCCTCAGGAAATTTCCCTTCTGCGTGATTTACCTGATAACATGTGTGTTTATCTGTATTGGCAGGCTGGAAGGTCACAGTTCAGCTGCACTTTACAAGGCTGTATGTTTAGGCATTTCAGATCAAGGATAAATGTCACTTACCACCCAGTTTCCAAAGCTTCCTTGAATAACTCTTGTTTCTTATCAGCAG